GAAGGCGAGAGGAGGGGGTGAGCAGGAGCCAAGACCACCTCCCCCACAGCAGCCTGCTGGTGGTGACATATGCTCATGGAAGGTCCCAGCCGGCACAAGGATGACCCCTGCATAATGGCGTCTGGCAACCTGGCTCCACGCTCTCCACCCGGGGTCCTCTCCTCCTCTCCGCCCTGCATGAGAGCAAGGTCTCACGCCCTCCCGCCTCCCTGACTTTGATGGTGAGGGTGTCCCTCTGCTCTTAGACTTTTTAACTCTTCTGAGGCCTCGAGGAGCCAATTCACACATTGGCTGCTGCGATCCTCCCTGGTCACCCAACGGGCCAGCTCCGCCACACCTGGTCCAGAGCCTTCACCTGCAATCAACACGCCTTGCGCTAATCAGCCTTCTCTAACTGGCTGCCTTTCCATGTGTTTGTTTCTGATGACTGCAAGTTTCTGGAAAGAGCAGATCACTCTCATGTACTCAGCTGCTTCCCTGATGCCGGGCAAGTCCTGTGCACAGATTGGTAGGAACAGCGCAGCAGCATGCGGCTGCCATTTAACAAGCTCTATGCGCTGGGCTCGGTTCTGAGCCCTTTGCATGGATTAGCAAACAAGCCTCAGAATGGTATGAGATGGGTGTGATTATTATCCCTATTTTACAGAAGGCAAGACTGAGGCATAAGAGGTTAATGACTTGCTGGAATCATACAACTAGTAAGTGGCAAATCAGGAACTTGAACCCAAGCTCTCCGATTTTAGAGCCTGTGTCCAGAACACACGATTGCTGACTTACGTTTGGAGGCTGGGGTGGCTGGGCTGGGGTGGGGGTGTCAGTGGAGGGGAGAAGAATGATTGGGAATATTCACAATCAAACATCTATAATACTATTCTGTTTCTTGAAACTTACACTCAAACAATGGAATACTACACAGCTATATAAAATGATGAAGTTATGTACAGTCACAGCCTATATCTATTTTGAATACAAGTTTCATGAAGTATGAAAAATTGATCTCTAAAATGTCAGTGGGTACTCAACTATCTCTAAATAGTGGGATTTTCTGTGACTTTTTTCTTTTCCATAGTGTATATATTGTTCAACTCTTCAAGGAGTCTGCTGGGCTGTTGCCTATGGCAGGAAGACCATGAAGTCAATTTTATTCTAGGAGAAAAATGAAAGCAAAACAAAATAAAAAGAGGGAGAAAAAGAAGGGGGAAAGCCATGAAATGTTTTTCGACAGAGGGTGTTTGAGAAAGATCACTGTGGTGATGATGCATGAAACAAAGATGGGATATAAACTATCACAGAATGAATGAAGACAACGATAATCACTAACATTCATAGGGCCTGAAGAAGCAATGTAGGAAGTTTAAAGCCTAGCTACCCCAGAGCAGCACTATTTGTCACAGTCAAATGCCTGCCAACTGATAAATGGAGAAACAAATCTCAGTCTATCCATACGATGGAATGTTATCAGCCAAGAGAGTGGATTCATGTTAAAAGACAGAAGAACCTTAAAACATTAGGTAAGTGAAAGAAGTATAATAAGCTCAAAAGATCATATACTGGATGACTCTATTTATATGAAATACATTAAGTCACCTACGTATGAACCTTCAAGTTACAAACTTTCAAAGATGCAAGTATGTGTTCCATCAATGCCAAGTGTGAGTGAAATTGCAGCCTGCGCTCCACCTCCTATCGCTGACGACCCTTCAACTCTACCATCTCCCACCTCCTCTCCCTCCTTCAGTCAGTAACTCTTCTTGCCTGTTCACTCGATGGCCAGCCTCTGTATGCCAGTGGTTGTACATACTAGTGTATTTCAAGGTACTGTACTATAAAATTAAATTGCTACTTTTTCATGTTTTTTTATGTATTATTTGTGTGAAAGGTATTATAAACCTTATAGTACAGTACAGTACTATATAGCTAATTGTGTTAGTTGGTATCTAGACTAACTCTGTTAGACTTATGAACATACTCTTGGGATGGGACACCTTTGTATGTTGGGGACTTATTATAAATTATAAAATTAGCTAATTATAAATTAGCTAATTTATATTCAAAATAGCTAAATTCACAGGGTCAAAAGTCAGATTAGCAGCCAACAGGGCCTGGCAGGAAGGAGAAATGATGAACAAATACTTACAGGGATGGGGTTTCCTTTCAGGGTGATGAGAGTGTTTTGAAATTAGAGGTGACAATTTCCCAACAGCAGGAACATATTAAATGGCACTGTATTGAATCTTCTAAAATGGTTAAGTTTATGTTTTATAAATTTACCTCAATTAAAAAAAATTCACTTAGCCTTTTATCCTAAAGTCCTCAGAAAATGGAAGGGCAAATGAGAAGAAGGAAAAAAGAAAGAAAGAAAGCAGCAGCAAATGAGGGAAGCAGGACAGTCTAAGTAAGACTTGAGACCAAAGGGCAGTGGGGGGTTGTCTGTGCTCAACCAAGGGTGGGCCCAGTCCCTGTCCCCAGGAGGAGAGCTCTCCAAAGACAGGCCTGGTCCGTGAGATGCTCTGCATTTTCGCCTTCCTCCCACGACAGCCCTACTTAGATCTGAGACGACGTGGATACCAAATGTTAGCTGGGGAAAGCTCCATCTGCAAGCCTGAGTAGAAATAGCAAGAAAAACTAAGGCCGAGGATTCAAATCCTTCATGACTGTATGCAGAACCTGCATGGAGACTCGCCCAACATCAGACACCCCAGATGGTGAGTGCCTGCTGCTTTGGCTGTCTCTTCTTCTGGACTAGGGGTCACTCACGGGCAGGGACCCTGCCTAGACCACGATACTGCACGCCCAGCCCTAATCATAGCTCCCGGTACAGAATCGGGGCCTGCATATATATGGGATTAAAAAAATGAATGTCCTCCATTTTAAGTATTTGATCCACTGACTTACAGTTTTAATGGGTAAAACACTGACACAGTACAAAATTCAAAAGGCTCCAAAGGCTCCCACTGTTCTGCTCCATCCCCCTTCGAGGCAACCCCGCACTGTCTCCACGGGGTCCATGTGACCAGTGCGGTGATATTCTGAATTGCCAAGGCTCCACCAACCAACCAGACTACCCAGTGACTTGGGTGTCTGGGCATGACCACGAGACGAAGCGAGGCGTGATGTCAAGGTGAAAGCTATCTGGGTGAAAACGCGGTCCCAGGATTCCGCGACAGGCGGAAGCACATGCCAGGGAGCCGTCGGCTGACAGAGAAATGCCGCTAGGTGACAGCCGTCCCCCCAGAGCCATTCGTGGCACGAAAAGGCTGCGGGCAGGGGCCGTCCGCCCCGTCCATCATGCCGGCCACCCCGGGCTCTTCACACCTGTTTCAGACACAAGCGAATTTCAAGCCGGGGACCGGTTCTGTGGCCCCACGATAGGAGGAGAGCAGTCGTGCAAGCCCCACGCAGCCTTGGACACCGAGAGGCTTTTAGTGGTTGGTTGTCTGGGAGGGGAGGGAAGTTCACCTTAAAAGAACTCAGTTGTGAGCTGCGTGGCTCTCTCCCTGCAGATGGGCACCTTGGTGGAGGCGGTGGACAGAATTCAGCCAGCCAGGGGGAGAGGGTCCCTGGGAGTCAAAGCCCCTGGGGTGATGAAGAACCCGGGCCCACCCCAAGCCTGGGATGTGCCCTGGGGGTGCCCCTTGTGACAGGAACATCTGGACTCATCACTTCATCTGAGCCAGATTGCGAGGGGCTTTGTTTTTTTTGAAGCCTGAGTAACCGTCGCCCTGTATAGTCACCAAACCAAAGGCTAAAAAAAGATGGGAGCCACGCAGGCTCGTCTGTTCCCCGAGGTTCCTGCCTGAAGTGGCGGTGCACCGGCAGGCTACAGGGTGAGCCGGGCGCCGGTCCGACGTCAGCCAATCTGTTACAGTATTTCATTCCCTGTCCGCGTGCCCAGAGGCTGTTGCAACGCGTATAAATTTAGAAGAAGCAAGATAAATAACGTGGAAAGGTTCATTTGAACAAAAGGAGTTGTTTTTCTTTCCTCCTTTTCTTTTTACTCCACTGAAGAAGAGATAAAATGATCCTGTGACTGAGTTAGCCTCTTGGGGGGCAGATTTGGTGTTCTGGGCACCCTCAGTAACGCGTAAGCATGGCCGCCGACTATCCAGCTTCTCCCAAAACTGTAAACCAGTCCAGCTTCCAGCCTGAACGTCTCTTAGCAGCTGAGGGAATGAGGTGGCAACAAGATTTGTAAGCAACTGGGGTCTCCTCAGAATGAGCGAAAGACTCCACGTGAAGACAGCGTTTACTCTCCCTGAACGAAGCCTGTACCAGCTCACTCGACGCACCCTGTGCCGGAAGTCCCAGCTAACTCGCCGCACACTGGGCCGGAAGTCCCGGCTCACTCGACGCACCCTGTGCCGGAAGTCCCGGCTCACTCGCCGCACACTGGGCCGGAAGTCCCGGCTCACTCGACGCACCCTGTGCCGGAAGTCCCGGCTCACTCGACGCACACTGGGCCGGAAGTCCCGGCTCACTCGACGCACACTGGGCCGGAAGTCCCGGCTCACTCGACGCACACTGGGCCGGAAGTCGCCAGTGCTCCAGGAGTTATGCCTCAATACTTGACATAAAATATAACCAGCTTTACAAGGAAATTACTGTCACAGATGGGAGAATGGGGATCAGCGTAGAAATCACACTGAAAACGAAACTGCCTGAGAAACGCTTGCCTTCTCTTACACACAAACTCACCCCCAGTGGGTTTATGGACCATCGGTAGGAAGTAAGCACTAGTGAATTCTACCACCACATTATGCAGCCTGATTCCCATTTTGCAGAGAAGGAAACCAAAGTTAGATGAGGGAACGGAGGGCACATGGCTGCCAGTGGGGGGGGGGGGGTGGCGGCAAGACCAGGTCTGCCAACCCCTCCCAGTGCACACACCGCCTGTGTGTGTGTGTGTGTGAGAGAGAAGACCAGGTCACCCACCTCCTCCCAGCACTCACGCCGCCAGCACCACCCACTGCCTGGAAGTCAACCAGACTCAAGGGTTGTACCTCCGACAGCATCTCATACTGGCCTCTTCTTCCAAGAGCGATGGTCAGTAAATCATAGACCACAGATGCGCTCTGTAAACTGATGAGACGGTCGCTCTTGTGCTCAGGTATCCTGCTCAGCACAGCGTCCCGGTTGGCCTGAAAACAACACGGAAGGGAGAAGCAGATGGTGAGCTGGCAGCGCACACAGCTATCACTTTGTGCAAGGAAGCCGTTCAGGGCCTGCTGCCCCTGAGAGCTTGCCGAGGGCCTGGGGACGAGGGCGCGAGTGAGCGAGGGGTCGTTTACTCAGAATCCCCAGAGCGCCGCAGGACTCAGAAGGCCTGGAGGGCACTTGTCCGTGTTGGCAGGCGTCTGGAGGAAGCTTTAGGAGCTGATGCAAAGCACAGTGGTTTCTCCCGGGCTCAGGCTCACAGCCAGCCATGCAGTGGACACAGCTGCGCGGGGGGGCAGCAGACTCATCCATCAGATGAAGCCCTGCTGTGCCTCACTTATGGATCCTGCTTCTCCTCTACATGAAAGAGCAGGAGAAAATCCCCAGCCCCACACTTCCATTGCCAAATGGTGTTATCAGGGCACCTCAGTCCTACGGAGATGTGTCGTCCTTTTCCTCTCTCACCCAAGCAACATTCGAATCTCTGTATGACAGCGTTACAGGAAAAGACGACAAAGACTCATTCAGCCTTGTTCAGGGAAGCACAGAACAGAAGCAGAAGAGAAAGCAAGAAGCAAACAGACTTTTATTTTAAAAAATGTCAGCACAGAGGACTCGGGAGAACAAGGAGGCATGTCTAGTTCACACCCCCACTGCTCAGCACAGAAAGACCGCAGGCACGTTCGAGCTTATTCATCTCATTTATCTAGAAATCAACTGCTCTCCATGGCAACTTGCTTTCATTACTTTTGCAATTACTCCACCAATTCCTCCAAACACATCACATGTACTGGAGACTCTAAACGTAGCTCAGTTTCCTTTTCTCCCTAACAGGGAGTTCAGTACCAATAAAGTAAGACTTTGCCGGTCTTCTTTTCCCTTCTAATTAACAGAAGTCTCCAGACCTATCCATCCCTAGGAACACAGAAAGGGCCCTTCCATTTTTCCTGTGAAACTGGCTCTCGAGGGACCAGAATCACTGGTCCAGGCAGCCCGACATTTACCTTCCAGCCTGACACTTAGAAAGGCCATGCACACACCTTCTCACTCACTAATGAGATGGATGCTTTCTTTTGTGTGAGTCCAAGGCATTGACTTGTAGCCTCCTGTCAGTACTTACTCATTTTAAAACTCCTTCCTCTTAAATGTCAAAGACAAATAAGAAATATATAAGACAGGCCACTTCCTACAAAGTGACTCATCTCTTATGGAAACAAGTCTGCTTTTGAAAATCTCATTGTAAGTTTTTCTGGTTAGAAATGCCTTTGGAGCCAACAAAAGAAGCTGTGAGGAAAACAGGGCCTGATATCAGTGGTCTCATTTGATTTATTTGCTCCAAATGTTCCATATTGAGACCAACCTGGGAGAGAAGGGAACACAACAAAACATCATGTAAGAAAGATTTTCAGGTTATGCCAAACACATTCCTTTTTTCTTTTTAAAGAGAAAGTCTATCAGTGCCTTTTGATTAAAAAGGTACAATCAGAATCTCAAGCAGGTCTACAAATAATAAATAGCCCAGAATGCTGTCTCAGTAGTAATCATGCTAAAATACAATTCTGATAACTCCCTTCTCCTGGAAAAACTAATTTGATTTGAGGTAAGAACACAGTTCAATTCCAAATGAGTTCTTGTAGGTGGAGGGACCATTGACAAATTTATGTTTCTAAGTTAAAATCAGGACCAGAGGAGACTACAATTTTCTCAGACAGACAGACACACACACACACATACACAACACAGCAATTCTCATTTTGGTTCTGAAATTGAGCACATCTATTTTCTGTCTAAAAACTGAAAAAAAAAAAAAATCAAGGGACATGAAAAAAGGCTTCCAAAGGCAACTTAATTTAGATTTCTACCTACGTAACCATGGAATGATTTACTGGGAGAACATAACCGTCCTGGTTGGCAAACCCCGTCCTTCTTATTTGCTGTCATCATTTGGATTTCATCATCCTCTGAAGAGATTTTCTGGAAATTGAATACGACAGAGTCGAATTTGACTGCCTCAAAGGGATCCGAAATTTGAGTATTATTAGGGTCTGTCACTGCAGTGAGGGAGCAGGAGGGTTAGACATCACTCCCAAGACATCTACTCTAAGAGCATGCATTCTAGAGATGCTGCCAACTTTCCCAAATTCCAAACTGGAACGCACACAGCCTGACAACAGAACACAATATTTTCAATCAGAATTGTCCAAGAGATCGAAAGTGTATGGTCACCATGCTTTCAGAACTGTTACATTATCACTAACTGAGTTTGCCGAAAGGAAGCTAAATGCCAGGTTGTGAAGGGCCCAGAGAGGAGGAGGGAATGGCGTGAGCACTCCCACCCACCCGCCACAGAGCTGACGACGGGGCACGGTGAGATCTGCTCGTCTGAATACCAGTTACAGGAGGCCACTGGGTGCTGGCCTGTGCACATATGTGCCTCCACCACTGTGCCAAGGCAGAGGAGAGGATGTAAATGACACCATCCGAAGTCACCAGCTGACAGTCAAGGAAAGATGAGCCATGGAGGCGACCTGTATCCTTCAGAGGAAGCGGGGCCAATGACGTCAAAGGGCTTCCAAATAAAAAGATGCGGTAACTCAAGCAGCCTCACTCTTGTAAACATCTCAGGGCCATCTCGCAGAAAAAGAAAACCCAGAGCTCTAAAGTAAGGCAAGAAAGCTACCCTCCATGCCCAACCCCAGCCTCTTCTGCCCCGTCTTCACTCAGCACGGTTTCTAAGTCTTCTTCCCCGGAGGATATCTCATGCCTCCACTTAAACTGTGAGCTTAAGAGTAGAGGGGACCACCTTCTCTTGCTGTAGTTACACCTCCTTTTCCTCCTTGTTTGTCCTCCTGTCTGCCCAGCAGGTTGGGAGTTTCGGAAGGGAGACAGGGCATCCGCTAGAAGGAGCAGGAGACCACTGAAGGAGGCCTCCTGTCCCTCATCTAAATGAGGTGGTGGACACAAGGACCTTCCAAGCCCGGGGCTTGCTGTTCTGCTCAGGTGCCCAGCACACATCATTTATGTGCCAGGGTATTAAGTGCCTTGACACATATTACTCCGGCGTGCTTCAAGTTGAGCCGTCACGCCTAGCGATGTGCTGAGAAGAAACCCAGTAAATGATGAACGATGAAATTCTAGACCTAAACTCGATCTCCTGGCCAAACACTAAGAAAACATTTCAAAGGAATCTGATGGTCTGGCAAAAACTCCCTCCCGACAGTGGAGCCGGGTAACAGAGTGGGCTCTCCTGGCCTGGGACTGTGCAATGCCTGGGGATCAGGTGGGGGCTGGAGAGAGGACCTGGGCGGAACACAAGGCAGCTCATCAGGCTGCTGCTATGGAAACCAGAGGTTCAGTACAGCCAGTGTTTCACCCCCAAATTCTCCCTCCCACCAAGGCAAATGAAGAAGGCTCATAAAGGTTTACCCTTGAGGGCTTCTCCCCGCCCCCCAGTTAAGGTTCCGCTGATGGGCGTTTTAGCTATAGTTCCCCATATACAACTGTGTTCTTGTTCAATCAGTACTTTGTGGATAAATGAATGAACTCAGATGCCTGGTAACTGCTAAGGGAAAGAGAAGTTTCATGCGTCAGGCCAACCCAAGGGGCATTTCTAGCCAGCCCAAGAATTAGACGCATCTCTCTTTAAACCACTGTAGTTATTTTTCCCACCAGGTGTCCCCTTCAGAAAGTACTCTTCTTGTTTCTGCAAAGAAAAAGAGTCGCTATCCTGATGGAGTCACCACATCAGAACAGGGACTAAGGGAGCAGAGGAAGAAAAGTGCAAGAGCACATCCTACTCACCATCGACTCACTGATCAGCAGCAGCAACAGGGCTTCTTCAGTATTTTCTTGAGGACAAAAAACGCTGCGTAAAGAAAATTCACTTTGATATATGGCAATTTCAAAGTCACACAAAATACATGACTAAGAACAGGACTGAATGCTAACAGCTTCTAGATTTTTATATCGTATAGAAGCCATAAAAAATGCTGGATAATCTGGACACTTGAATTAATTTGCTTACTTCTATGGTAATCTATGGAATTTATACATTTTAACTATGCATTTTAACAGCAGGTAACAGGGTAAAGCTGTAGAAACCAAGTTAAAAGCCCAAATAACATTTGTGACTATTATAGAGGCAGAAATTTTGATCAGTACAAACTGACATTGTCTAAATAACACAGACTTTCTCCTAAACCCATTATGAGTTATAACCTGCAGACATTTCACTACATGGTACTCTTCTCATGTCTTACTTGCTAGCTGGTATATTGTATATTGTCATTTCAATGAATAGGAGATTGGAAGCAATTTTAGAGTTTGAATAATTTCTAGGATACTGTAAGATACTAGGATACTGCTAAGTGAGCTATCTTACAGAAACACACATGCCAAATTTTGGGGTAGCATGCAAGAACTGTCTTATTAATCAATTTTATGGAATTTGGCTAGACTCAACATCTTGGATTAAAAGGAAAGGCTTTTAAGCTCAATGTTGCTCAGGATTAGAGAACAATATAAACCAAATGTAACTCTGATCTCCATTCTCTATATCATATTTTTTGTGATTTGAGCATTTTAAAAGACTTCCTGCATTTTTCTCCATTCTAAAGCTCTAGAATCCTTGAGTAGAACTGTGAGTTGCATCACAAGTTGGGCCAAACTCAGCCCTTTTGTGGAATGCTAGAAGAGTGCAGGAAGAATGCACTTGGTTAAGGACTTCCCTGCTGGTTCAGTGGTTAAGACTCCACACTCCTACCGCAGGGGCACAGGTTCAGTTCCTCGATGGGGAACTAAGATCCTGCATGCTGTACAGCATGGCCAAAAAAAAAAAGAAAAGAAAAACTTAAAAAAAAAAAGTTAAGAAAGAAAAAAAACCCTGGATGTTTTGGAGAGGACTAAATAGAGACTAAATTTACACCTTCCTAGGCATACTATTACATCTAACTTAAGAGAAGGGATGAGGCCCCCTGCTGCCCCCAAATGGTCAAAAAACGTTTTCCAAATGATTCTAAATTCTTGTGATTTAGGCACTTGTGATCTAAGCTCTTGTGATACTTGTGATCTAAGCACTTCTTTTTGCAGTGCCGGCAACTTTTGTACTGTGTTAAAGGACCATGAGGAGTAAGACCGAAAAGTACAGTGACTGAGAGTTTACAGCTCGAACATTCTGGAGGTAAGGAGACCACCTGTGGGATGGTTCCCATTGCTCTGTCAGTTTATAAAAGGGCCTGTGAGCTTCAGGGCTGCAAGGGAGAAACAGACGTGCAGGACAGACCTACGGACACGGGAGAAGGGCAGATGAATGGAGAGAGTGACGTGGAAATGTACAGCATCGTGTGAAACAGATAGAATGGAACGTGCTGTATCACTCGGGGAGCCCAGACAGGGCTCTGTGATGGGCTGCAGGCAGGGTGGGAGGGAGGTGGGGGGGGGTCTGGGAGGGAGGGGGCATGGGCGTGCCTATGGCCTGTTTCTGTTGGTGTCTGGCAGAACCCCACAGAGTTCTGTAAAGCAATTATCCTTCAATTAAAAAATTTAAAAAAGGGGGGGCGCCTGTGAGCAAGGAGCGAGCTTCTAGAATCTGCAGTGACCTCATTTAAGAGGTAGCTTTAGGTGACTTGGGTTTTTATAAGAGAGAACACTTCTCTCCCCTTAAATTCAGAAATAGAGCCTACAGGCTTTGAATTCAGAATGCTCATGTGTGTGTGTGTGTCCATCCAGCCATCAGTTCCTGACATTCTAGTTCATGTTCACATGCAACTGGGACCTTACGAAAAAAGCAGTAACATTAAGCTTTTTTTTTTCCCCATAGCTAGCCAGTTCTGCATTGTCCAGACTAATTGAAAAGAGAGAGAGCCCATGCTAATTGTGACTTAATACCAGCAAATTGAGTCCAAAATAATCCCCAAATTCCATCTGAGTCGTCTAGGCTGCTTATATGCGAGGTTGTGTTATTTTAACCAGAGCTGCTAATAAGTAGCACTTTTTTTTTTAAGTCACTCACTCACTCTTTGTGACCCCGCGGAATGTAGCCCACCAGGCTCCTCCGTCCATAGGATTCTCCAGGCAAGAATGCTGGAGTGGGTTGCCAAAAGTAGCACATTAACTGATCCTAATTCTGCTTCCTCTACCCTCTACCCTTTTCAAGGCAGGCAAGATGGGTCCCCAGGGGGCGCTGCAAGGCTCTGAGGACCAGCAGGAAGAAGCAGGGACCGGTGAGGGGAAAGGATAGTTTTAAGAGAAGTACCTGAAAACCTGCACACTGTAGTTTACCCCTCCTCCCCGCCCCCACCCCCGCCAATGATGAATTCTCTGTGGCCTATTTCTGGCCTTTCTGGCCCTCTTCCCTGTGGAGCTCAGGGTGGACAGTGAAACTGCTGGGCTATCCTTTTGTGATGTTGTCCTCTTAGGGCCCAAGAGTGTCAAGGGAAGGTCCTGGGCCCCCAGGCCTCAGACTGTGGAGCTGGGAAACTCCAGCCTTAGATCTGGAGGAAGGTGATGGAAGAACCGCTCATTCATACCTTTGGTTCTGCCAAGTAGTTACCAGGACCCTTCAATGTCCCTCATCGCTATCCTTCAAACAGCATCCTCATCCTTACCAAAAACCTCTGCACTGGCTGCCAGGAGGTTCAGACCTGTATTTAGGATGCCAGGATAATTACTTTCTCCTCTGAGGCATACAGAGGAGTTTAGCACAATGTATGGCGCTCCTAGTGTTAAAAAAAATCATCATCCACTTCCTGGCACAAAATAGTGCTTTCTAGCCTCCTTCTTTACTTTGTGCTAATTATCTAATCTAATGTGCATTTCCTTATCAAACCACCTCAAGTGCTTCTTACAAGGAAGAATAGAATGGAAGAAAGAAAATGAAACAAAAGGCATCCATGTCAGGAAGAAGTAAAACTGTATGTGCAGCTGACGTGATCTTGCGTATAGAAAATCCCAAGGGATCTAAAAAACTATTAGAACTAATAAATCAGTTCAGCAAGACTTCAGCATACACAATCAATATAGACAATCGATTTTATTTCTATATACTTGCAATAAACAACCCCAAAATGAAAGCAATAGTAACAATTCCATTTATGATAGTATTGAAAAGAATAGCTGACACACACCAAAACACCCTTAGCATAAGTTTACAAAAGAAATGCAAACATTATACCTTGAAAACTTCAAATTGTTGTCGAAAAAAAGAAAAATAAATGGAAAGACATTTTATGGTCATGAAGACTTAATATTGCTAGGATGGTGTGCATGTGTGCTAAGTCACTTCAGTCGTGTCCAACTCTTTGTGACCTCATGGACTGCAGCCTGCCAGGCTCTTCTATCCATGGGATTCTCCAGGCAGGAATACTGGAGTGGGTCGCCATGCCCTCTTCCGGGGGAATCTTCCCGACCCAGGGATCGAACCCATGTCTTTTAAGTCTCCTGTATTGGCAGGGGGGTTCTTTACCACTAACCACCACCTGGGAAGCCCTGTTAAGATGGCAACACTCTCAAATTAATCTACAGATTAAATTCATTTCCTATCATAATCCTAGTTTCCCTGTATTGTTTTTTTGCAGAAATAGACAAAATGATCCTAAAATTCATGTGAAAATATAAGGGTTTGGGGGGAAGGCAGGCTAAGGGGTGCTAGGTTTATTTGGGGGGGATAATAAAAATACTCTAAATTTGACCATAGTGATGAGCAATGTGACTATATTAAAAGCTATATTAAAGTGCATTGTACACTTTAAATGAGTGAATTGTATAGCATGTGAATTAGATCTCAACAAAACATTAATAAAAATGACTGTGTGTATTTGTGTGAAATGAAATTTGTGTCTTAATAACCATTCACGGTATGGGAATCTTCTAACTAATAACTACATTTAACTCGATCTATGTTTTGCCTCCATAATTCTTGTACAGATGGGGAAGCTGATGTGTGGAAAAGACTGAGTGGTTCCAGAAAGCAGGGAGACATGGCCGGCACTCTGAGCTTTTCTACCTTCAAGGGATGAGGCCACGCTGGAATAGTACCCAGACAGACACAGAGCTTCATCCACATGTCAAACTTGACTGGGGGAGGAAGCAAGAGCTGGATTCCTCAATATACGGGCACTTATGAAGCAGCTAAAGCAGAGGAAAAATCTAGGGTCTATTTTTAAGATTTAAAAACAGTAACTAAAAAGGAACCTCAGTCCTGCTGCTAAATAGCTCATAATAAGGGGTCAGCATTTTAAAAGTGAGAGTTTGAGAATTGCTAGAACAGACGTTCTATGAATCCAGATAAGGAGTAAGGAATGCAGCAAAAAGTTAAGAAAATGCTCACTAGTCTGAATCCATACAAGAAATGCAAATTGAACAAGATGACAAGACAGAGAAAGGCCAGGGTCAGTTTAAGAAGACTGAGAGGCAGTGGCCAGTGGCCACAGGACTCAAAAAGGTCAGTTTTCATTCCAATCCCTAAGAAAGGCAGTGCCAAAGAATACTCAAACTACAGCACAATTGCACTCATCTTACATGCTAGCAAAGTAAGGCTCAAAATTCCTCAAGCCAGGCTTCAACGATATGTGAACCATGAACTTCCAGATGTTCAAGCTGATTTTAGAAAAGGCAGAGGAACCAGAGATTAAATTGCCAACATCTGCTGGATCATCGAAAACGCAAGAGAGTTCCAGAAAAACATCTATTTCTGTTTTATTGACTACGCCAAAGCCTTTGACTGTGTGGATCACAATAAACTGTGGAAAATTCTTAAAGAGATGGGCATACCAGGACACCTGATCTGCCTCTTGAGAAACCTGTATGCAGGTCGGGAAGCAACAGTTAGAACAGGACATGAAACAACAGACTGGTTCCAAATAGGAAAAGGAGTACATCAAGGCTGTATATTGTCACTCTGCTTGTTTAGCTTATATGCAGAGTACATCATGAGAAACTCGGAGCTGGAAGAAGCACAAGCTGGAATCAAGACTGCCGGGAGAAATACCAATAACCTCAGATATGCAGATGACACCACCCTTATGGCAGAAAGTGAAGAGGAACTAAAAAGCCTCTTGATGAAAGTGAAAGAGGAAAGTGAAAAAGTTGGCTTAAAGCTCAACATTCAGAAAACTAAGATCATGACATCTGGTCCCATCACTTCACGGCAAATAGATGGAGAGACAGTGGAAACAGTGTCAGACTTTATTTTTGGGGCTCCAAAATCACTACAGATGGTGATTGCAGTCATTAAATTAAAAGACACTTACTCCTTGGAAGAAAAGTTATGACCAACCTAGACAGCATATTAAAAAGCAGAAACATTACTTTGCCAGCAAAGGTCCATCTAGTCAAGGCTATGGTTTTTCCAGTGGTCATGCATGGATGTGAGAGGTGGACTATGAAGAAAGCTGAGCACCAAAGAATTGATGCTTTTGAACTGTGGTGTTGGAGAAGACTCCTGAGAGTCCCTTGGACTGCAAGATGTAACCAGTCCATCCTAAAGGAAATCAGTCCTGAATGTTCATTGGAAGGACTGATGCTGAAGCTGAAACTCCAATACTTTGGCCACCTGATGTGAAGAGCTAACTCCTTGGAAAAGACCATGATGCTGGGAAAGATTGAAGGCAGGAGGAGAAGAGGACGACAGAGGATGAGATGGTTGGATGGCATCACCGACTCGACGGACAGGAGTTTGAGTAAACTCTGAGAGTTGGTGATGGACAGGGAGGCCTGGCGTGCTGCACTCCATGAGGCCGCAAAGAGTCAGACACGACTGAGCAACTGAACTGACTGACTGATTGAGAGGCAGTTACCCTGAGAAGCACTGCCCCCTGAAGCTGCAGAGTGATGCTCAGAAGCCTCACCCGCGATAACCCTCCAGTCCCCTTCTCTGTTAGCGCTCCCCGGGGCCTCAGAGGCAGCAGCCTGCGGGCTCTCAGCCATCTCCCACTGCACAGTGACTAAAGAAGTTTTCCATATTTATTTGTACATGTTCCTCTTTCCCTCATGGCGAGGTTCTGAAAAGCCACGGTGTCTTGGTCTTGTAGGAACAAAGACGGGAAGGAAGGCTCTGAGGGGAGGTTCCTGTCTTCCTGTCGCCTCGGGGTCTCGCTCTGTCTCCCGCCTACTCCTTCCCTACGGGGAAAGCCCAGATGGAGCCACGCGTGGACCCTTACCCCATCATCCTCAGAGGTGATCCACAGTTTCACTGAAAACAGTGAACACACTCTACAGAGACATCACCTTTCAATCACTTGTAAATTATTAATCATTTGTTAATGACTTAATTCTTCTTATAGCTAATTCGGTTTAAAACAAAATTTTAAGCAAAGATTAAGGAGCTGAGGAAAAGAAAAAAAAGTGAACTCTGGCTTACTAATAACTTTGTACGATGCTGAAGTTCTTATAATAATCTGAATGAAAATCCCAAAGACCAACAGTGAAGGCTGATAATAGCAGCCAAGCTATTCTAGATAAGAATGAGAGCATTTTCCCATTTAAAAGGTCCCCACTAGTGCATGGATTTCGCTGAAGTTATGAAAAGTAAAGAGGTATCTTTATTAAACTCGTAAATTAGACTTGCTTGTCTGGTTCTCTTTCAGGGGAGAAAAAAATCTACCCTCGAACGTCTCTACATCCTTGTGTGTGTGTGTGCTAAGTCCTCAGTCGCGTCCGACGCCTTGTGACCCCGTGGACTGCAGCCAGCCAGGCTCCTCTGTCCGTGGGATTCTCCAGCAAGAACACTGGAGTGGGCTGCTGTGCCCCCCTCCAGGGGGTCCTCCCGACCCAGGGACGGATGCTGCGAGTCCTGCACCTCCTGCACTGGCGCCGCCTGGGGGGCCCGAGGTTTCCCTCCCGCCCCCTAACCTACGCGTGAGGACGCCAGTTCCCATACTTCTCTCCTGAGTAGACGCGGGCTTTCCGGGTGAGGGTGTAGGTTTTCGTGTTTGCTCCTTTCCGGAGAGGATCGTCCAGGGGTGACTGGCATGGCGGATCCTCCAGAGGGTTCCAGTAGCTCTGCTCACACATACCCCGCAACAAGATCTCCGCCAGCTGCCTGGCTATTGTCTGGGGACACAAAGGAGCAGAGGGACAGCCGTGAATCTATTTCGGATCATTCACTCATTCGTTTGCTCATCGAGCAAATATTTTTCAGCCATCACTTTGTCATCACTATTCGAAGACTCGTTAAAAATTTTTACTCCTATGATGAAAATTCTCCAGTTGATGACAAAAAAAAAAAATATGATACACTAAGATACTTGAAACATTTAAAAAACAGATAACCTCATGCCCTTCAAATGCTGCCCTGCTTCCGTTATATTCTGGAACACTAAACATGTCTAGGACCTGAAATTTTTAGTTAAACTCTTTTCCAAAAGCTCTTGTATTAACTAAATAATAGGTGAACTGCAAATATTTTCATCACTGTCCAACCAGTGCCTGCTAAAGCCCGAAGTTGGCAGAAAGCCAGAACTCAACCTAGATGATGTAATCCCTGAAAAAAATCTCTGTTGATGATAAGAGGATGTCCGGTGCAGATTTTTAGAATGTCTTCCTTGTTAGGCATGCCAGAACAAGTCCTCCATGTCCCCGCCCTGGCCCTCAGCACCTGAGGCCCTGCCCTGTCCTTCCTGCATCCTGGGTCTTCCGGCCCAAGGGCAGGGAGGGTGCAGTGGGAGTACGGGCACTGACCCAGAAATACATTTTCTCAAAGCTGGGTAGATATCTCTTTTCCCACTATGAAAACTCAGAAACATCTGAGTCTTGTCCTCCCGGGTTAGATGCAGATCACTGTTTCCCTAACTCAGTCACTCTGCTGCCTAGGGCAGCACCATGCGTGCGTGTGTCCTGCGGCACTTCTGTCCTGTCCGGCTCCTTGCGACCCTCTGGACTGGGGCCGCCAGGCTCCTCTGTCCATGGGATTCTCCAGGCAAGAAGACTGGAGTGGGTTGCCATGCCCTTCTCCAGGGAGGCTTCCCCACCCAGGGATGGAACTCGCGTCTCTTAACGTCTCCTGCACTGGCGGGTCCTTCACTGCCAGAGTCACCAGGAAGCCGGAGCAGCTCCGTGGGCGAGGTACCGGGGGCAGAAGACAGGGCAGCTACTGAGAAATGTGTTAACTGATGTCCTCATCATCTCCCAGTGACAAAGAGGAGAAATTAAAAAAAAAAAATCCCTCTGAAAATAGAAGGACTGCATTGCAGGGTGATCCAGGCGACCTCACACTCAGCCAGAGGCAGGGAAAGAACACGTCAGCCAGCAGGTTTTCCACAAGGTTTTAGTGTTCTTCGGAAGAGGCAGGCAAAGGGTACTGATCTTTCCTAAGAACAAGACTTTTTAAATCAATATGTTCCAGAAAAGAACTTTGCGAGGCTTTCATCCGTGAGAAATCTCTTAAAACACCACAAGGAAACCTAAATGCAACCCAATCACTAGCTCAGTGGTTCCTGATAACCACTGGGTAAAGGCAAATTTTCTTCATTATTCCCAAGTAAGAGCCACTGGCTTTAAATGTCTATAAAAAATGTGAAATTAGATGCACTCAGATCATCCCCAACTGAGCCATCTGTAAAGATCTCATAAGAACACGATTTTCAGCACCTAAACAGTTCCTGAACCGTTTTCTTAAACCTTCCATTATGGCCTCGCTTTGATCTCACTGCAGTCATATAAACTAATGACTTTTGCTGGAAGCATCAACTGGCAAGAATAACCTCCACTTGCTCTAGCTGAGGGGGAAAAAATGTTAAAGGAGAAAAATGAACAGGAACTTCACATCGTGGATGTATCTGCCACAGAGGGATTCTACGGTAAAAGTCTCTGTCCTCAAGATAGTCCGCTTGTCCGCTGCTGGACAGCTGACACCAGACCTCATTTTCCCTCAAGGCATTAACCTTCCGGAGAGAGCTTTCGATGAGGTTTGATGTGATTGCATATGTTAAAGGCATCAGCTCATCATGCACCTCCGATTAGGAAGGATGTTGGCTATATTCACTGAAAGCACAAATGAAGTTCAGAGGAGATTGAATAGGGGAAATTATCAGCAAGATCACTAATGTCTATGATACCTTTTATGTTTTATACTCAGGACATATATAGTTTGTAGTTTAAATGCCTAAAAATTGTTGATAACTATCAAATATATTTCAAATGAAAGGAAAGAAAGGAAGAAAGCTGCCTGGAAGAAGAACTTGAACTTCTCTGTACAAATTTGGTCATTAAATGCACTATTTTTTTTCTTGCATGTGTTTTTAAACTGTGATAAACTTCACATAACATAAAATTCACCATTTTAAAGTGTACAATCCAGTGGCATTTAGCACATTCACAGTGTTGTACAGCCACGGTCACTGTATAGATCCAGAACACTCTTGACCCTACAAGGAAAGCCCACACCCTTTGAGGAGGCACTCTCCATCCTCCCTCCTCCCACACCCTGGGAGCAACGAGTCTGCTTCCTGTATCTGTGGGTTTGCCTAGTTTGGGCATTTCATATAAAGGGAACCGTACAACACGTGGTCTTTCTGTGTCTGACTCCGCTCACTCAGCATGATGTTCTCAAGGTTTATCCATGGAGCAGCATGAATCAGTCCTTCATTCCTCTTTACAGCTGAATGATATTCCACTGTATTCTGTTTATTCAGTCATCGGCCGGTAGACACTTGAATTGTTTCCACCTTCCAGCTACTGTAAGGAGTGCTGCTATGAACATTCATATACAAGTTTTGGTTTGAAAACCTGCTTTCAATTATTTGGAGTATGTATCTAGGAATGGGGTTGCTGTAAATGTACTTTTAAATCCTTCTCTGCTATAGTTTCACACCAGAGTTTACAAAGCAACTTTTCCATCTCATAAGGATATCATAAATTTGCAACTATCAGCTAATCGAAGAGAAATCATACAGCAATTAAGAAACACTGCCTTAGAGAAGAAGAAAAATCATATGACATCCTTTATGTGCAGAACCTAAAAAGAAATTATACAAATGAACTTATTTACAAGACAGAAACCAACTCACAAACTTAAAGAAGGAACTTAAGATTGCCAGTGGGTACCAATGAGGGGAAGAGATAGTTAGGGAGTTTGGGATGGACATTACACACTGCTGTGTTTACATGGATCACCAGCAAGGACCTACTGTAAGCTCAGTGTCAGGTGGCAGCCTGGATGGGAGGGGAGTTTGGGGAAGAATGGATACATGTCTGTGGAAGCCTGAGTCCCTTCACTGTCCTTCACTGTCTGAAACTATCACAACGTTGTTAATCGACTATACTCCAGTATAAAATAAAAAGTTAAAAAAAAGCCACAGTCACACACACACACACAAGAAACCTTGTCTCATGAGTGGCAATAGCTAGAGAAGCTTTCTCACGTCCAGTGGAAGCCAAAAGACGCCAGTGAAGATGTCCCAGGAAGTGTTTCTCAGCTGGGCTGGGCAAAGAGTCACTTACGGAAACTAGAAAATACAGGTTCTTGAGTCCAGCCACAGGCTGGCATTCCCGAGGTCAGGCACAGGGATGTGTATTTGTCCAGTCCTCAGATGTATCGGATGCACACCTCTGGTTGAGCACTCAAGGAATTAGAAACAGTTTAATTTAGGTCACTCGTGGGCCATCAACCAAGACCAAAGGTGTGCCTGCAACTCAAGTGTGACACTGAGTGGGAAGTGCCCCCTCATGTTGAACGTGAACGCGTCCGTCGCTCGGTCGTGTCCGACTCTTTGTGACCCCAGGGACTGTAGCCGCCAGGCTCCTCTGTCCATGGGATTCTCCAGGCAAGGACACTGGAGCGGGTTGCCATTTCCTTCTTCAGGGGGTCTTTCCAATTTAGGGATCAAACTCAGGTCTCCTGCATTGTAGACGGATACTTCACTGCGTGAGCTACCAGGGAAGCCTCTGTTAACACTGACCAGTTAGTTAAAGCTGGAAGTGTCCAGGGCCAGCTTCAGTCCTCGCAGGCTTCCTTTAGAAGTCTCTTCACTGGGTTTCTCAGGAACAAAAAAGAAGAAACCACTCTTCCTTCCTAACATATTTCTGGCCAGAATCCTACCTCAAAGGATTTTTATAAGTTAAAATACATTGATTTGAAAATCATAAACCTTACACAGTAATAGAAAATATTCTCTAACTCTGAAAAATAATGTTGGCATAAGCAACAGGCAGATTCCTACAGTGCAGTCCATGTACACACATCTTTTAATGGGGAAGAACCATTCATTTCCTTAATGAAATATGTATTTTTTGAGAGTCTACATTTAAGAATTTTGAAAGATTGGCTAAGTGAACTTTTAAAACAATTACAAGAACACTTGCCAATACTCTTTTATGCTTTCAAATCTTTTAAGTTGTTCATGCTGACCAGTTGGGAAGTTTTATGGAATGTGGAGAGGAGGTGAATTTGAGAGAAAAGACATGTGGCAACAATTTTTATCCATATTTTTGCAGGGTTTTTTTTCCCTTAAAGAGCTGTATTGATCAAAAAATGTTTTCTTTGAACTTCTGAGGGCACCGATAAATCATAACAACACATAAATAAATATCAAAGACCAAGTGAGTTTTTGGTGATGTGTGTGTGTGTGTGTGTGAAGTCACCCATCTTGTCTTATCTCCAATAATTCTGGGCCTCCCAGGTGTCACTAGTGGTAAAGAACCTGCCTGCCGACACAGGAGACTTAAGAGACACGGGTTCAATCCCTGGGCTGGGAAGATCCCCTGGAAGAGGAAATGGCAATCCACTCTCCGGGCCACAGTCCATGGGATTGCAAAGAGTCAGACACGACTGAGGAGACTTGGCCCTGTAATCCTAGGAGAGCCTATTGGCTGAGCCCCCAAGACCTGTGAGTCGTGCATCCACATCCTAATGTTCTGGAGACACCAAAATGAAGACGCAGCCTCACTTCCCATGACGGGAGAGGCTTAGCCTTGCCCAGCTGAACACTCACAGCACTTAAAGGATTCCCGAGGGACTTCCCTGTGGGTCCAGGGTGTTAAGACTCCAGGCTTACACTATAGAGGGCGTGGGTTCAGTTTCTGGGCAGGGAATTTAAGATTCCACATGCCACGTGGTGTGGACAGAAAAATGAAAAGCCATGGTAAAGGACGCATGATAATGGGCAGACCACAGCATGGATGACAAAACGCCAACGCTCGGTGGCGCTGGCTCTGAAGGGCACGCTGTGAGGTGTAATGGTGAGCCTCCCGGACAGGAGAGTGAAAGGTTTAAAAGGAAGGCGAGAGCACTCAAGTCCACAGGTGAGTCAAGCTGCTGATCAGCCAGTGTATTTAACTAGCTTTTCTGTTTCTGGGTTTATGGTCAATGTAGCTGAACAGCCAGGAACCCCTAGGATCTGATGCCTTTGCCCTGTCTGGGGTGCAGCATGAGCCTTCAGCGCACAGCCACACGGGCACCGGCAGGGCCTCGTGCTAACTGCCATACGCGGCGCACGCCTTGTGGTTTAACAGAGCGAGACCGAGAAGCGAGTGCAAAGATGTCCATCACTAGCCGTCAGGGAAATGTAAGTCGGAACCGCAGTGAGACGGCACTGCTCGCTCACGGAGGATGGCCAGCGCTGAAAAGAAACGACAAACAAGTGCTGCCAAGGACGTGGGGACACTGGAACCCTCGCTGCTTCCGGTGAGAACGAGAAACGGCGCAGTCGAGCTGGAAGGCAGTTTGGCAATTCCTCCAGAGGTCAAACGTACAGTTGCCATGGGATCTAGCAACATCAATCCCAGGTATGTACCCCAGAAAAACGAACACAAATATCCACATAAGAACCTGCAAGAGGGTGTTCACAGCAGCATTGTTCATAAGAGCTGACAGGTCGACACACTCCAGTGTCCTAGGGACTGGCGGCTGAACAGACAGACGTGCCCCATCCTGCACTGGAACATCATCCACCGCGGAGAGGACAGGATGGGTGGGCCGTGAAAACATCACGCTGGGCCAGCCAGTCACAAAAAGACCACGTACTGGGGGAAGAGCAGAATGAGGCGGCCTAGTAACAGGCATGGAGGTTTTTGTGGGGTGATGAGAAAGCTCTGAATGGAAATATAAATGATGGCTGAACAATTTTGTGACTACTAATCTCCAATGACTTTAAACTGGTGAATGAATGATGTGTATCAACATGCTTCACTGATAGAATTTAAAATGTATAACGTCTATATTACCTAATATGTGATGAAACATCATATATCATTTATAATACGAAAGAGAGAGAAGGTCCTCGAAGCGCCTTCAGGCCTCAACCAAGTCAGCAATCACACTTACCATTCGCAGGTTTTGGGTTGTTCTCGTTTCAACCGCTCTGAGGAGCTCTCTGAACCGCCCGACTCCTCTTGTCAGATTCCTGTGGGCACACAGAATTTGACAGGGCTTCCATCTGGCGTCTGCTAATATTAAATATTTTATACACACGTTCCATTGCATTTTGTCTACATAAAAGCTGTCGGCGAGATGGTAAGCGAACCATTGCTCTGCACGTGTCTGTCCGTCTTTGCTCAAGTCTGAAAAATCTGACCTAAGATTGATGGGCTTTGGTGCTTCCACAGTCAAAGTTTCTCAAGCAAAGAAATGCTGGAAACCCAGATCTGAGGCAAAAATTTTAAAAGGCAAGATATCTTTCACGAGTCTATCTTCCACCCCCCAGTAGCTCAGCCTACTTCATTAACTGGTGCTAAACTCTTCATCCCAGAATGGGTGGCATAAAGGTACACGAACGTGTGTAATGCAAGAAAGGCTTCTTGTGACCTGCCTTCTTTGTGGGCAAGACAAAGAACAGAGGTATGAAAATGAGGGGCTCCATCAGGCAAGCACTCTGTGTCTTCGAGAACACACACCACTGCCCAGTAAAGCCCCCTGCCCGCCCCCAGCCTAACCCCAACAGGCAGGCAGAGGGTCACAGCCCCTCCCGAGCGGGCGGGAGCCCCTGGGCTGAGGTCAGCACATCTCACACACGGCCATGCACCTCGCCGTGTGGGTAGCATGTTTCGTGAAGGGGCAAATCAGGCCTGGCTTCCCCCTGACCCACACGCCCAGACGCCCCGTGTCTGTCCCCTCTCTGAGGCTGTGCCCACCCGACCGGCTGGGATCACTTCCCCGCAGGTCCCTTCACATCGAGCGCCACCACCTCCTATGACATAACCCGGTGATATTTATAACCTGCTCATTAGAACACATCTCATCTTTCCAAAAAGCCAGCGAGCAGGTCAGCCGGTGCCGGCCGCGGCAGAGCCCAGGTATTCGGCTCTCTCCTTAGACGACACTTTAAATCACACAAAGGGATGAAAGCAAACTACACGTGGGTTCTGTATGCACTCACGGGGCCATTAATTCGTGTCTTATATCAACATGACATCCCAGGGCTCTCATGCACAAGAACAGCCCCAGAACTCGAAGATACTGGTTTACTGGCGCCGGGACATAAACACTCCCATAGTCCTCTCACCCACACACATCAGATGATATCAGATCAGAGGCTTTACGGTGGCATAAAAAGAAAAGCTTGTGCTCAGGACTCTAGGCAGCGCTAAAGGAGACATGAATAAAAATTAGGTAATAGGCCCTGGAACATGCAATCTATGCTGCTCTCCCCTTCATTTGCTTTTATGGGATCTGTGTTCACAGGCAACAGACTACATTCGCTTTGGACTGAAGCTCCGTTCTCTTAAGTAACACGGAGGGCGGCGGGTGGAGAGGGGAACCAGCTACAGCTGAGAAAGGGATGGGCGGGACAGAGCAGTGTCGTTTTAGTCCAGAATCCCAGAGTAAACTCTGAGTAGGCACGAAAAGAGGCTTCCCTGGTGGCCCAGGAGGAAGGAGTCCACCTGCTATGCAGGAAAGGCGGGTCAGTCCCTGGGTGGGGAAGATGCCCTGGAGAAGGAAAGATAACCCACCTCAGTATTCTCGCCTGGGAACTCCCAGGACAGAGGAGCCTGGCGGGCCACAGTCCACGGGGTCACCAGAGTCTGACATGACTGAGCACACAGCGCGCGCGTGTTTACATGCACACGGAAACAAACCATGGGCTTTAAACTGTGAGTGAAGGTGGCGCTGAGGCAATGTCATCTGAGACCCAGGTTTACACGGCTGTTTTTGCAGGCGGGGAGCTAGGTGTTGAGTAGGCAGCATTCAATCCAAACGGTCTAACTCAGGGGGAAGACACCAGGTGGGAGCTGGCTCTTCAGAACGTCTCCCAGGCCCTCCTCGCAGAGGGAGATACTTGTCAAGTTACAGAAACACAGAATTTTCTAGCTAGAAATGATCCCGACGTGACCTAGTCCACCGGGACACAAAAGAGAAACGGCTGGCCCTGAGTCACACAGCAGTCAGAGGGCCAGCTGGGAGCTTTCTGCCAAAGCTCTCACCTTCCTGACAAAGGAAACACGCGCTCTCAGACCACAGGACGGTGCCTGCAGGAGGAACAAAACAGCAGGAACACGAGAAAGGCCTGTTTTCTTAGAAAACCAACCTCTGGTTGCCGGAGGAAGGACGGGGGAAGGGCTGGTTGGGGAGTTGGGGAAGGACTTGCACACGGCGGTATGTAAGTGGATCACCAACAAGGCCTGCTGTGAGCCTGGGGAACTGTGCTCCGGGCTCCACGGCAGCCTGGGTGGGAGGGGGGGTTGGGGGGGATGGATACCCACATACATGCGGCTGGGTCCCTTCGCGGCCCGCCTGAACCCATCACGACATTGTTAATCGGCTACACCCCAATACAAAGTAAAAAGTTTACAATAAAATACTCGGGGAAAAAAAGAAAAGAAGGTCTGTTTTACATGATTAATATGCAAATTAATATGTACATAATACAAATCTGATGGTTCCAGTGATCTCAGCAAATGAACTGCTCCTAGAAACTGGTTTAAAAACGAAGCAAAACCCGCTGGCGCGGGAGAAGCAGCCTGGTGTCCGGGGCGAGGCTCGCCGCCTGGGCGGAGGGCCCGGGGTGCAGAGCCGCCGTGCGGAGACCGGGGCGGTCCTCCCGCGCGGGGCCGGCGCCCCACGGCGGCCGCGGCAGGAAGTCCCCGTCACCGGGGACAGCGGCCACCCGGGCGGGCCAGACCGGCAGCCACGCCAGGGGCTCCCGAGCACCGCCCTGCCTCCGAGCAAACCCGCGCCCTTCTCCAACTGTTTTTCTCTGGGAAGAGCTTCGGCTGCAGAGTCAAGCGCTGCCAGAAGCCGGGGAGAACTGTGCTCATCAAGGCAGGGCCCGCAGGGGCCGCCGCGCGGGGAGCAGCGCGGGGCGGGGAGCAGCGCGGGGAGCAGCGCGGGGCGGGGAGCAGCGCGGGGCGGGGAGCAGCGCGGGGAGCAGCGCGGGGCGGGGAGCAGCGCGGGGCGGGGAGCAGCGCGGGGCGGGGAGCAGCGCGGGGCGGGGAGCAGCGCGGGGAGCAGCGCGGGGCGGGGAGCAGCGCGGGGCGGGGAGCAGCGAGGGGAGCAGCGCGGGGAGCAGCGCAGGGCGGGGAGCAGCGAGGGGAGCAGCGCGGGGCGGGGAGCAGCGCGGGGCGGGGAGCAGCGAGGGGAGCAGCGCGGGGCGGGGAGCAGCGCGGGGAGCAGCGCGGGGAGCAGCGCGGGGCGGGGAGCAGCGCGGGGAGCAGCGCGGGGAGCAGCGCGGGGCGGGGAGCAGCGCGGGGAGCAGCGCGGGGAGCAGCGCGGGGCGGGGAGCAGCGCGGGGAGCAGCGCGGGGCGGGGAGCAGCGCGGGGCGGGGAGCAGCGCGGGGCGGGGAGCAGCGCGGGACGGGCAGCCGCGGGGAGGGGAGCAGCGCGGGGAGCAGCGCGGGGAGGGGAGCAGCGCGGGGCGGGGAGCAGCGCGGGGAGCAGCGCGGGGAGCAGCGCGGGGTGGGGAGCAGCGCGGGGCGGGGAGCAGCGCGGGGAGCAGCGCGGGGCGGGGAGCAGCGCGGGGTGGGGAGCAGCGCGGGGCGGGGAGCAGCGCGGGGTGGGGAGCAGCGCGGGGTGGGGAGCAGCGCGGCGTGGGGAGCAGCGCGGGGCGGGGAGCAGCGCGGGGCGGGCAGCCGCGGGGAGGGGCTGGAGGCGGCAGGTCCACACGTGAACATCGGAAGAGGAACAAAGTGTCCTAAATGCGAGACAGCCAACCACCAGCAGCTCTTACACCATTCCTATGTTTCTATAGTCACATAATTTTATTCAAGCAATCAGTTCCACGGTTGCCATGACGGCAGAAAAAAAATTTTTTTAATATAATCATGATAGAAAGAAACAGAAAAAGATTAACTTGCAAGAACTACATTCTCGAGGCTATAAAATACCCGCAATTTGAGGGAAATAAATAAAAACCACAGGGTTGCTTTCATGTCTCTAAACTATTAGTTTATTCTTACAGTGTTGACACCCGTGAAACAGCTAGAATGAGCTACTGCTTAGAAACTCCACTCCAGAACGAAGAGAAAGAGAGCCAAGCACTCTCCCGGAGTTTGAGGGTTTCCACAGACCCTGGACATGAGGTTATTTATTCCGTTTCAACACCCCTGACTGAGGGAGTGCAATGATGTCAGAATTCATTATGGGAAACGAGTCTCAAAAAAAACACTCTCGCCAGCATTCGAGCAGCGGGCACTGGCGAGCGGTCAGAACTCGGGGTTCACCTCCTGCACCTCGCTTCTTGAGCTGGGAGAGCTTGCCTCCGCGGGGGACGGCTCCCAGCAGCTCAGCCCTCACAGAGGAGAAAGGGCCTGCGAGTCCCTGGAGCACCAGCCCAACAGGAGGGCGGAAGCCGCCCCCGTCGCCGGGGGCCCCAGTCCTGCTTTGCCGAGGGGCCCCAGCTGCAGGCAGAGCTCCCCATCCTCAGCCGTGCCCGGGGCAAACCCAGGCAGGGGAAGGCCCACCCGCGGCCCCAGGTCTCAGTGCCCTGAGGTTGGGGCAGGAGCAGAACCCCCTGAGGATGCCGGGGGAGGCGGGGGGGGGGGGGTGGTTAGACATTTATTGGCCAGCACCGGCCCCTTCTTCATCTCCTGGGCCCTGAAATCAGCATTTCTGACGGCTGGTCTCTGAAATCTACGTTCTCACGTACAAATTTACAGCAGCGTCTGTTCATGTCCTGTTCTGCTGTGACTCTGAACCGCACAGTCAGCTCTTTAATACTGTCACCTGTCTCTATGCTATCAAACCAAGGGGGAAACATGCAGGAAGGAAGCCAGAGCTCCAGAAGCAAACTCCAAACGGAAGACCAAGTCTCAGAGCAGCTCGGGGACTAGAGAATCATTTCACCTCGTGATGGACAGCGACCTCAACAGCAAGCTCAATATATTATTTTACATTACATTCATTTACATTTTCACATACACTTCTTGGGAGCCAGGTGGGAAAATACAATCCCTCCTCTTCCAATTTGTC